CTCATGCCGAATGCTCTGTTATGGACCATCGTTTCTGGAAGCCAGCAAAGGATAAAACATCACAGCTGGAGATCAACTTTGGAAATCTAAGCTGCCAGGTCGTGGTGGCAGGGGAGGGAGACTGGGACGTGGGGATGGTGGATGTCCAAATGGTGGCAACAGGACTGATAAGTTAAGTGCTTCTGCTCCTGATGTGGATGACCCAGAGGCATTTCCAGCTCTGGCTTAACTGTATGCTGTGACAACCCTGGTTCCTCTGTGGATCCTTCTGTTCAAAGCTTTAGTACGCTTAAAGATTCCAAACAACTTAGAAATTTAAGACAAATAAAAAAGACTGTCATTTATATCATTCACACATAAAGACTGAATTTTATCTGTTTTGAAAATGAAATTCTCTCGCTACCCATAAGTAACAAATAATGATAGTTTTGTATTTAGAAATGTATTGGTAGCAGGAATGTTTTCATAATTTTCAGAGATTATGCATTCTTCATAAATGCTTTTGTATTGCTGCTTGCACATATGCATTTCCAAACTTGAAATATAGGTATGAACAGTGTGAAAAATAAATTCATTTTATTTTGATGGTGTTTACATAGTTGAGAGGGTTGCATACCCGTGTGGACCAGTCAGTTAGCCCAGCCTGGCTCTCCCCCATCCCAGCTTACATGTGGCCAACCGGTGTTGCATTCCTGCCTGCCTGTTCTGCCCCCAGTCCCAGTTCACCAGCAGGAGCAAAGCTTAGCAAGGGAGTCCCCATAGCTTGCCTGCTTGGCTTGCCCCCATCCTGGGTCTCTAGTGTGCTGATGGGAGCTGCATCCCAACTTGGCATGACTTGGCTGCCTCAGCATCCACCAGCAGGTGCTGCAATCTGGCTTGGCCCAGACTGTCCTCAGTTCCAGCTCATGTTGGCAGGTACTACTAGCCACCCTCCAGTCCCAGCCCTACTGTGAACAGGATGGTGTTGTGGTCCAACCTGGCTATCCTGCACCCCAACATGGTTCTCACATCTGCCAATGGGTGTTATGAGCTGGCCCAGCTTGGCCTACCCACAGACCTGATCCATACATATGTCATCTGGCACTGTAACCTGGCCTGGTCTGTGCTGCTCCCACCCTTTGTTCTCACATTCACCTATAGAGACTGTGTCCTGACAGAGGAGTTCCCCAAGTTCCTCTACCAGGTCACCTCTCAGTGGTAGATCCTGTGCACACTGGTGGGTCCTTGGCCCAGCTTAACTTGGCTCACTTCCTGTCCTGGCAGGCACAGCGGCCTTGCCTGACTGACCCACACCCATTTCAGCTCTTACTGATGGGTGCTCAAGCCCAGCCCTGCCTGATTAGCCCCCAGACCCAGTTCTCATGTGGTTTAGCAGGTGAAAAGACCTAGACCAACCTGTCCCATACACCTTGGCTCTTGTGAAAAAAAGCAGGTGCTGGGGCTTAGTCCAGATTATCACATCCTAGGCCTAGTCCACACACATGCTGAGGGATGCTGCAGCCATGTCTAGCCCAGTGTGACACCCACAACCTGGCACTTGCTCTCACTAGTGGGAACCACAAGCCACCTGGGGTGTCCCCTTAGCTCCCCAATAAGGCATGCTCCCAGCCACAAATCTTGAGCCACAGATCTCCAACCCAGTCTGGCATAACCAATCACTCAGCTTGGCCTTTGACGTCAGATGTTATAGGCTGGCCTGACCTGTTCTAGACCAATATAACTGTTGCTGCTGAGTGCTGTAGCCTAGCCCTAGCTTTCATACAAACTGGTAGATGAAATAGCCTAGCCTAGCTCATCATGGTCCACTAGCCATTCCAACTCCCAAGCATGCTGGTGTGCTATGGTTAACATGGTCATGCCCTATTTGCCCCTACAGAGCTAACCCACACCTGCTGACAAGTGAAACAGCCTTCCCTGATGAGCACCAGCCCTCTCTCACACGTTCCCCAGTGGGAACAATGGCCTACCATGGGAGTTCAGTTCAAGTTTACCACTAGTTCCACTCCAAGACCCAGATCTCACACAGGCCAGTGGGTGCTAGCCCTTATCCGGCAGTCTGCCTGTTGCAGCCTGGCCCGCCCCATACCCAGTTCTTGGGTGTGCCTGTGGGGACTACAGCATGGAACAGCCTGGACAGTTCTCAATCCCAGTACCCATGAATGTTGGTGAGTTCTATGGTTATGCTTAGCGCAGCCTGTCAGCACCCCAACCTTGGAGCAAAGCATCTGGTATGGCAGTCCCACAGGGGTAATACCACGATCTCCCACAGATTCTGCTCCCAGACCAAGTTCTCTCATGAGCTTGTTAGTGTCGTTGCACAGCCTAACACGGTCCACCCCTACCTAACACTCACTGGAAGGTACTGTGGTATATTCCTGCCAGGCAGGCCCCTCAGCTATCGTCTTGGCTTGTCAAGCTCTGCTTCCAGCTTTTTGTTTGTTTGTTTCCCCCTGGTGACAGGAAATATCTTCCAATTCGGAGATTCTTTCCTCTGCCTCTTTCATTCTGTATTTGAGACTCTCCACTGTACTTTTAATTTGCTCTACTCTATTCTTCATTTCTGATATATCAGCTTTCATTTGATTCATTTCCTGTGTGACGTATTCCTTGAACGCCTGCTTTACATGCTTCTCGTTGTTGATAAGCTTTATGACAGGTGTTTTGAATTCTGTTTCCCCCATTTTCTCAATGTCTTCCTCAGTGGACTCTGAGGTTACCATATGGTTTTGCTCCTTTGCAGGGAAGTCTTCAATAATATTCATTGTGTATCTGTCTCGTCTTTTGCTCTTGGTCATTGTATTCCGGTTAGATTTTTCTCCTTGGGGCAGGTTTCTTAGCTCTGTCATCCATGGGTCTACAGTTGGATTTTACTTATTGCAGTTAGCACATGACTGCTTGTTTGCAGTCACTTGTTCACTCACTCCCTCCAGTGAGTTCCAGGTGTGGGTTCTTACAATAGACTTCCACCATGTCTCCATATGGTCTCCAAGGCCCAGCTCCTGGCTTACCAGACTTGACCTCTTGTGATAGTGTGCTGAGGCTGCACCATTGTCTGTACAACCTTTCTCCCACTTCTGGTTGGAGCAGTCCCCAGGATTAGGGAGATACCAGGTGTCCTATATAGCTAGGTTGTTGTTGGTGGTGGTGACCTTGCCAGAACCTGTTAGCCGTTAGTTCTAAGGGCCACATGGACCTATTTTGACCTGTAGAATGCCATAGTTGGCATTAGTTTCCCTTTGGGACCAGTGCAATGCACTGAGCTCAGTGTGTTCTCACTGACCTCATGCAAGCACAGCTTACTGTTGTCCCCTGTAGTCTTAAATTCTTTTCCACACTGTACAAAATGGTGCCAGATATGCCACTCCTGGTGTTCTTGATCTACTAGCCATCAGATCTGAGGGTTGCCTGGACCTATCTTTGGTGGAATTTGTAGGATGTCATGTTTTTGCAGTTCACTGAGTCAGAAATGAGTTCACCCCCAGCTCAATCCATGCGCAGTCCTGCCCCATAGCCTTTGCCTTCTTAAACAAAATGGTTTCTAATTTGGCTCTAGGAGGTAGACTGAGCTGCAAAATCTACCTGTTCCTGCACTGCCCGTCTGGGATCTGCTGCTGTCTCTGCTCCTGGTCAAATCAAATGGACCAGCAGAATGAGCAGTTCTTTGTCTGGGTTTACTTCCTTAGCTCCCTGCAAATGCCCCTTCCCACCTTATTGCTGATAGAGTTCCAGCTGCTGATGGAGTTCAGGTTGCCGTTCACTGAATGTTACTGGGATATCAGTCACTGCAACAGCACACCATTGTATCTGCTGCTTTCTTATGTCTGTCAGTCCTCGGGTACCCCTCTGCTGTTGTTCTGTTCTCTTCTATTTCTTGGAATGTATACTCTCTGCTTCACACTGGCTAATATTTCTCCATCTGTTTAAATGTGTCCTTACCCTATTCCACCATCTTGATTCTGCCAAGCCACTCTTATCAGTAAGAACACTTCAGGTGGGTCAGGTACACGGAGTGGAGCTCCACTTCATCGGCTAACCCTGCCAATGAGCCAAGGGAGCAGCTCCCTCCCTCCCTACAAGCTGCTTTCCAAGCAGCCAGCAGCATCCTTATCAAGAATGCACTTTTAAAAGCATTTCCAGAACTAGTGTTGTGATGTATTCAAGTAAGCCATTGTTTTCAATGAGAACATTTCATATTAGAGTGTTGGCTGAAGTACGCATTGCTGTGTTTCTGATCCAGTTTCTGGCTAAAACATAGGGGAGAACAACATAAGATGACCCAAATCCTTGGGCCCCTGCTGCCTCTCTGGGCGACATGGATAGATCCCAGAGTTCCTTTGTTCCACCTGTGTTGGGGGCACTGTCAATGTCCTGCCCTGTGATTGGCCCTTTGCCCTGATTGGCCTGCTTTGGTGATCTTTAAGCTGATTGGATAGGATTGATATATAAACCAGGAGCTTTGGGGAGGGTGAGGGGCTTCTGCGTAACGCAATTAATGGATGTAACAGTTTTAACGGAAGGTTTGAATAAAGCACCTATGAGACGCTCTCCAGTGTTGGGTGATTTCTTCCGTGGAATGGGAGACCCTGATACACCTGAATGGACCACCTCCTGGCCATGAGGCTATCAAAAAGTGAGCCAGTGAGGGGGAAAAAAGAAAAAAAGAAAAAAGCCTCCTCCTATAGCTCTTCTCACTGTCATTCATTCAAGTGTTTATTTCAATAAAGGCACTCTCTTTGTGCACAGTGATTAACTCTGTTATCATTTATTGTCAATATTTTTGCTTTTTTAAAATATGCTTAAAATTCATCTTTCCAGAAGGTTTTTTCACTTATGGTCTGATTTCATATGGATTTTTTTCCATTTAGACACCAAAAAAACAGAGCAAAAAGCCAGAGTAAGGTGGTGAATGGTGCTCTAATGCCTACGTTCTCTAACTAGGGAGCCAGTCTCTCCTCGGACCTGAAGGAGCCTGGCAGAAGATATGTTTACATTTCTGGGGATCACAGTATGAACGTTTTCCTTACCGTGAAGACACTGATCCTCTCTTCATCCTCTGCCTTCATATGTGCTAATAACTGCTCCTTTTGCTCCAAGATCTCAATATGCCACTGGATCTGCTCCTGTGGAAAGAGGAACTTTCAGCCAAGGCTCTGTCTAAATTGTGCTTGGCCACATAAAAACCTGCCAGTCTCTCCAGAGAGCAGATGAGTGGCTCCAGAGAGTTCTGGATGTGTTAATCCACACTCCTTTTTCAAGCTGGGAAAGAGGGGAGGGAGAAATCATAACCTACATGGCATAAAAGATGGTGTTGTGGCTTTGAGTAATGTTTGGCTGGTGTTTCAAGACTGTCAAAGAACTCTCACAAACCATCCCTCATCTGGGCCCGGTGCGGTGGCCTAGTGGCTAAAGTACTCACCTTGTAAACACCAGGATCCCATATGGGCATTGGTTCTAATCCTGGCTGCTCTACTTCCCATCCAGCTCCCTGCTTGTGGCCTGCGAAAGCAGCTGAGGATGGCCCAAAGCCTTGGAACACTACACCCAAGTAAGAGACCCAGTAGAAGCTCCTGGCTCCTGGCTTTGGATTGGCTCAGGTCCGGCCATTGCAGCTATTTGGGGAGTGAACTAGTAGGTTAAAGATCTTTCTCTCTGTATGTCTGCCTTTCCAATGGAAATAAATAATTTTTTTAAAAAAAGACCTTACCTCATCTGTTTTACCAATAGTTTTAAAAGCTATGTTTGGGTGCTAATGCTATGAAATATCAGGTGAAACAGTGGGGCTGGCATCACATAAGGGTTATAATTCAAGTCACAATTGCTCCACAACAGATCCAACTAGGGCCAAAGTTCCTGGGAAATAATTGGAGGTTGGTCCAAGCCCTTGGCCTCCTGCACTCACAAGGGAGACCCTGAAGAAACCTATGGCTCCCAGGTTTGTACTGCTCTGGCTCCCACTGTTTCATCAAATTTGGGAGTAAACAAGGGAATGGAGGTTATCTCTATTTATCTCTCTGTCTCTCATCTCAGACTTTCAAACAAATATATGAACAAACAAGTGTATTTTTTTAAAGATACAAGTTTTATTTTAAAACTGAAGCATCTGAGGTTCAGAGAATCCAAGAGATTCCTTGAAACTCAAACAATCAATTCAAAGTTTGAACTTGAACCTATACCTTCTGAATCAGAATTCTGTGTCTTTTGTATCCTCCTGATTGGTACAGGCAGCAGTTCCCCATAATAGAACCTTGAGCTTACAGGCCTGGTTGAGTGGAACCTGCAGGAGCCATAGAGAGCAAACCCTCAAGAAGGAGGCAACAGCTTGCAAATCTCCACTGAACTCCTGTCAGCAAAGGAGAGTCCCGGTGCCTACCTGATGATGATGGGCAGCTTCTTCCATTGTGCTGGTGTTATGGGATTTGTGTTCGTTCGACTCATGACATGTTGCACAGAGGAGTTTCCCATCCTCCTCGCAGAAGTAGTGTAGCTTTTTCCTATGCTTTGGACATCTCAGCTCCTCCTCTTCCAGTTGCACCTCAGAAAGATCCATTGTTTGAATTTTTTCCACAAGACTCCCTAACTGCCAGTTGGATACAAATGCATCCTTCCTCATGGAACTTTTGCAGAGGGGGCATTGGAGGAAATTATCGCAAGTTTCCCCAAGCTGAGTGATGCAATTACGGCAGAAGTTGTGTCCACAGCCAATGGTGACAGGGTCCTTCAGAATGTCCAGGCAGATGGGGCAGGTCACTTCCTGCTGTATGTTGGTGGAAAAACGTTGGCTGGCCATGGCAAAGCATCCAGGCTAACTCACATCTGCAGGAATTCTGGGTGTCGGTGGTAGACACTGCTGTCAGAAGAGAGAAGGAAAGAGAGCAGGCAGAAGTCAAAGAGTCGGTCAAACAACCATAGGAGCCATGTGGGAGGAAAAGAGGAGGGAGAACAAACTGATCCAAAGGAGGGAGGAATTCAATCCAACGAGCTTTGTCTAGAAGGACAATCCTCTTCATTCACCACTTGGGAACAAATGGCTACTGAGAAAGCATATGTACTGCTTATAAATAGGGTAATGGTCTTGAACCTTGGACTGGTTGTGTATAAGGTAGGTGACTGGATCAGAAGGGCAAGGGCACTAAAGTGCAGTCATAAAAGTCTTCCTAGAAGCATTAGAAAGGGAGTGAAAGGACTGGGATGAATCTCTGGCAAGGTCACAGGCAGTTGGGTGTCAGTGCTTTGGGAATGTCCTTTAGGTGGAACCAAACCCAGAGAGAAAGAGAAAGAGAGAGAGAGAGAGAGAGAGAGAGAGAGAGAGAGAGAGAGAGAGAGAGAGAGAAACACATGAACACGTGCTAGGAAGAAAGGAGGAAATTAGATCAGTTGCAAGTAATGTCGCTCCTCACTTTGAAAAATCTTGTGAAAACGTGGGAAATAGAATCACCATCTCCTACTATTCCACTATAGAGGGATTCCTAGTTAAGTGTAAGATACAAGGAACTTCTTCTCTGTTTTAGTTTTGCTTTAAGGCTTCTTTTATTTATCTTTGAGGCAGTTACAGAGAAAGAGAAACAAAGAGAGAAGGAGATCTTCTGTAGGTTCACTCCTCAGATGATCATAATAGTTAGAGAATAGCCATTCAGAATCCCAGAGGCAGGAGCTTCCTCTGGGTCTTCCACATGGATGCAAGTGCTCAAGCTCTCAGGACCTTCTCCGTTGTCCTCCCAGAAACATAAACAGGGAGCTGGATCAGAAGCAAAGCAGCTGGAACCAGAACAGATGCCCACATGAAATACCAGCACTGCAAGCAAAAACAACTGGGTGCCTTCTTCCCCACCACTCTATTACCTCAGGTCTCGCTGTCTGCAGACATCTTCCTATCTATGATCCTTACTAACAGATTTCCTTTGAGTCTCTTCTGTGAGAAATTCTCTACTCATCCTCAGGGAAACCAAGGATGCATCAGATGGCCTTAAAGCCTTGTTAAATCTCAGATTGGCTGAGCCTCAGGATAAAGACCTGATCATTCACCTTCTGAAGTCCTACTTATATTTTAGCTTTTCACTGGAAAGGCAGAGCGAGAGTGAGAGTGAGAGCTAGAGAGAGAGAGAAACCATTATTCTCTGGTTCCACTCACCCAAATGCCCACAACAACCACAACTGATCCAGACTGGATCCAGGAACCAAGAACTCAGCACAGGTCTCCCACCTGGGTGACAGGACCCAAAGTTCTTGAGCTATCACCTGCTGCTTCCAGGTGTGCACATGGATTGAAAGTGGAAGAGCTGGAACTTCAGGCAGGGTGTTCCATCAGGCATAGCCAGAACTGACTTCACCACTGTCCTATAGACCCCTTGTTGTAGTCAGTTTACAAGCAGCTTGACATGATTAGAAGAGCAAGGTAGACTGTGTCTAGAATCTTGAGTTCACAGAATGCTGGTGCCAAAGATCAAAGTAGAGCTTGCATGCAATTATCTGAATTTGGGACACAGTTCAAGGCCACAGAACCGTGTGCTTTAATATCCTGAAGACAGCCATGTGCCTTGTTCATGCTTTTCCTGATCATCAATCATTAGCAGATGTCGGTGAATATGGGGTGTGGCAGTCACAGTTTGTACCATTTCAATTCCTCTAATTTGTTACCAAAGCGATTCAGTAAACAGCTGACGCAGCATGCTTGCAGAGTTCCTTTCTTTTTTGAAGAAGGCAAACCTCTGACTACTAAATTGTATAGTCTTTAATTTTGTGTCTCTATTTTATGTTTAATTTTGTGTCTCTATTTTATGTTGTTTTCTTAATAACATGCTATCTCCCGCCAACCTTACCTCCAGCCCTGTTCACACCATGCAGGTCAGGGTACCCACCTCAAATACTCACATTTTAAACATTATGAGATGACAGTGCTGCTGAGGGAGCCTGCACATAGAGAACCATTGGTTTAGGGTTGGTGTTTTGGTGCAGCAGATAAAGTTGCCACTTGTGATATCAGCATCCCACGTGGCCACCAGTTCATGTCCCACCCGCTCCACTCCCAGTCTAGCTCCCTGCTAATACCTAGAAAAAAATGACAAAAGGCAGCTCAAGTGTTTGAGGGTCTGCAAACCCTGTGGGAGACCCAGAGGAAGCTCTTGGCTCCTGGCTTTGACCTGGCTTAGCCTGACCACTGTGACCATCTGGAGAGTGAACCAGCAGAAGCAGATGGAAGATCTCTCTCTCTCTCTGTATCTTTCTTCCTCTCTTTATCCCTTTCCCTCTCACCTCTGTTCCCTCTCTATGAAACTCTGCTTTTCAAATAAATAAATAAATATTTTTAAATATTTTAGGAACACCCCTGATTGCTCCAATCCATACAAACAGTAAGCGACAGAGCTGAGAGTCAGTCCCAGGTTTCCCACCTTACGTTAGCAGCTTTTATGGATCCCTGATACCCACGTGGGAGACCAGGAGGAGGCTCCCAGTTCCTGGATTTGGACAGGCCCAGCTGCAGCTCCTGGGGCCTTTTGGGGAGTAAACCAGAGGCTGGCAGATCTTTCTCTCTCTGTCTCTCCCTTTCAAATAAATTTATAAATTTTAATATTTATAAAAATATTTAAAAGAGAGAAAATGAACTAAGCTTTAAAAAGTAGAGATAACCAATAAAGCTAGAATTTACTTTTTGAAAATATTAATCATGAACACTAAGCAAACAATACATAGCTTTGAGAAGACTGGTAAAGGAAAAGTAGAGACACAAACAATATTAAGATTTAAATGGAAAATAACCCTAGGAAATTAAAAGGTCACAGAAAACCCACAATGTATAGTTTCATATAAGTTAATTTGAAAATATATATACAAAATATTTAAACAAATATATACATGCTGAAAATCAGTTCAAGAAAAGATAATCTGAAAATGTTAGTTCTATTTAAATAAATTATTTTTATAGTAAAAAATGTGACTTTTATGAAACAAAATGATTTCCCATGGAATCAAAAGGATAGTACAAAAATCATGCTACATCAGTTAAGGCCAAGGAAAACAATAAAATCAAGGATAATGTAACTTATCACCATAAATGATGAAACATTGAAGTTTCAGCTAATTAAATCAAAAGCAGATGTCCCAACTTCCATAATCACCTGAGCGTTTAATCCTACCATTTTAGAAGACAAAAATATTAGTTCACTATGTGTTAAAATCAATACTATTAAATATTGAGCAACATACACATGCATTGACAAATAAATATTCCTTTGCTTTGTGCATTATGTAGCCTTCAGTTCAGCCATACTCCTCTTTGATGAAGAATAAATAGTTATTAGGAGGTTGTTCAGAAAAATCTCCTGGTAGGAAATCACCTTGGTCTTTTTATGTCTCTGTGTGTGTGTGTGTGTGTGTGTGTGTGTGTGTGTGTGTGTGTGTGTGTGTGTGTTACGCATGTGTGTGCTTTAACCAAATGTTTATTCAAGGAATGTTAGGTTTAAGAAAGCTAGAGAATCTGTTGGCAAATTCTGCTATAAGATAAGGTGCTCCTCCTTAAACAGGTAGAATGTAACACCCTTTGTGATAAAAACCTCCAGCAAAAATTAAAGAAGCTGCCTGAACACATCAAGGAGTTTTCTACTGAGAATCTAACACAAAATTTCCACCTCACTCTAAAAGTTTAAAAGTGAAACTCAGAAGCAAGCCAGTAATGGCCACTCTCGTGATATCACTTAGCTATGCACCCAGATGTCACCAAGGGTAACTAAAAAATGAAGTAAATGTTTAAGGATTGGAATGAAAAGATAAATCTCTTACTGTTTGCAAGTATTACAGGTTTTTCCTTATAAAGCAATTCAGTAAAAAAAAAAGTTATAAGGATCAATTAAAGAGTTGCTAGATGAAGATTCACAATAAAAGTCAAACTTTGATCATGGTACAATGGCTCAATGGCTGAAATCCTGACCTTGTAAGCCCATGTGGGCACTGGTTTGCACCCTGGCTGCTCCACTTTCCATCAAGCTACGTATTTGTGGCCTGAGAAGGTGGTAGAAGATGGCCCAAGGCTTTGGGACCCTGCATCTGTATGGGAGATCTGAAAGAAGCTCCTGACTCTTGGCATTGAATAGTCCCAGCTCTGGCTGTTGTGATCATTTGAAGTGTGAACCACTGAATGGAAGGTCTTTCTGTCCATCTTTCTTTCCATAAACCTAATCTCTCATTCCATAAATAAATAAATAAATCCTTAAAAAAATCAAGCATTTTCAGAGACAAGAAATTGAAAAACAATTGAAAAACACAATTGTAATTTTAAAATTCATTATTTATTTAAATAAAAACTTACTTGTTTGAAAGAATCACAGAGAAAGCAAGAGAGAAAGAATCTTCCATCTGTTGGTTCACTCTAACATGGCCCAAATACCCAGTGCTGAGCTAGTCCAAAGCCAGAAACCAGGGGCTTCTTCCAGGTTTCTGCATGGGTTCAGGGGCTCAACCTAGGCTATCCTCCAGTGCATTTCCAGGAGCATAAGCAGGGAGCTGGATGGGAAGTGGCACAGCTGAGACTCAATTTAGTGCCCTTATGCAATGAGAGTTCTGAAATTGTTGGCTTTACCTATGACACCACACAGCCTTCTTCCTCAATTTACTATTTATGTGTGAAAGAGATATATAGACCCATGAAACCTGTTAACTACACCTCCCAAAAATGGGGGGAAAGAAACATAAAACTAACTTTTTTGAGATTTATTTGACAGAGAGAGCAATGGTAAGGGGGTAAGGATAAAAAAAGGAATGTTTTCCATCAGCTGAGCACTCCTCCAGTGTCTGTGA